ATATAGATTATTATCTTTATTTTAGTATAAAAATAAAAAATATTTATTAATAAAATAATAAATTTTAATATAAAGAACAATATCAATTTTATTATATTTTACTATATTTTTTTTTCAATTTCCACTAATATAGTGTAGAAATATATATATTATTATTATTTTAATATAAATTTTATAATTTTATAATTTTTATAATATCACAAATTATAATTTTATTCAATATTATTTATATTAATTTAATTTTTTATTTAATATTATACAATTATATTTAATATAAAATTTATAAATATTGCTTTTATTTTAATTAATAATTATTAATAAATTATATTTGTATATACTATTAATATTTTTGTAATTTAAGTTATTTATATATTATTTTATAACTTAAAGATAAAAAACTAAGTTTTTATATAAAAAACTAAAAATTATAACTGAAAATAGATAATATATTATAACAACTATAATAATGTTCAATAACTTTACTAAGTTTTATATATTTTATTTAGAATTTTAAAAATTACAATATAAAACACTAAGTTTTCTAAGTAATTATTTTTTAAATTAATATAATAATTTATTATAAGCAATCTATTTTCAAAATCAAAAACTAATACAAATATAATTATACAAGTTATTTTTTTAAAGTTTATTAATACTAAAGATGTTAAGTCATTCAGATAAACTGGATTTAAACTATCTTTTTTAACTATCTGTTCAAAAGAAATAAATAAACTGGATCTGTTAATCCTTTTTTGTGGCTGGTATTACTAAGAATCCAATTCGTAAAAACTAATTAATTGATTAATTTACTAAATCAAATTTACTTCTTAATAAAACTTGTTTGTTATTTAAAATTAGCTTTATTCTTGATAAAATATATATTTGTTAAATAATGCACATATCCCATGTATTTTATACAGTTTGTTATCTAAAATTGGCTAATTATTCTTGATGAAAATATAAATAATATGTGTTCTATATGTTTCATACAGTTCATTATCTACAGTAAACCTCCTATGTTAAAAACTCATTATTTCTCTTCCATGTATAAAACTATAAAAAAATATTATTTTTAATTACTATATTTTGTTTCAAGTCTATTATTTATGTTTCTTTTGATAAATAACCTATCACTCTATAATATAAACTTTTTTATTATATAATCATATCTACTTTTCAAGTTAATCTTGAGTGTGCTTATAATATTCTTTCTCTTTAAACAAATAGTCTTTCAAGTTATCAAAACAGTTTTTTGAACAGTGACAATTTTCTTTCCTTTGATGATGATTTTTAAGAAAGTAATTTTTTTGCTTTTGATGATGATGTTCTTCAAGAAAGCAGTAACAAGCAAAGCAGTGATAAGCAAAACAACCTCTTAAATGATGGTATTCTTCAAGAAAAAAGTGATGACCAAGTCAGCAACGATCAAAGCAGCAGCCTCCTAAATAATGATAAAAAAGTAGCAATGTGCAAATTAGTTTTTCAAATGATAGTTCTTTTGTGATTGAAGATTTTAACAGTAAACTTTCATCTATAAATCTCCCACAAAGTGAAGCAAGTGCTGAAAATCAAGAACCCAATTCCAAATAATGAAAAATTGGTCATTCTCTTTGGAGCTACTTCAAACAGTCATCAGATAAAAAATTTATTTACTGTAACCACTGCAGGAATCGTTATGGCAAGAAACTGGAATTTTTTAGTATAACTTGCGGCGAACCAATTAGAAATTCAATACCGCGTTACGTAAGTACATTAAATAATATAACGATAATGATAACATTATAATTGATGTAACGGTAATTATTGTAGCATATGATTAGGAATTGTACTTGTTGACTCCAAACGACGTTTTCGGGTTGGGGAAGGAATTATAATTTGTTCTTCTATCATTGTGCTCATTACTTTCTACACAGTGAAACTCGAGTTCGAGATCATCTAACACTAACGTTAATTAAAAAGATCCTTTTATTTTTTTCATTAATCTTTAATTCCTTGGTGTTGTTGTAAAACCGAAATCAACGAGAATAAAATTACTGATAAAAATTTTCAAATATGATTGACATAAAAATTAATGAAAAAAAAAACTTGGTTTTGTCATTTCTTATATTTGACTATTTTATAAAAAGATAAATTAGTAGTTTTTATAACATTATATTTGAGATAAATTCCGAGTTAATTTCGAAAAATATGTTTTACTTGAAGTTTAGAACAAGTCTTCAAATTACATCGGTTTACTTAAAGTTTATCAATTATAATTCTTTTGGTAAACCTTATTCTGGATCAGCAAGCTTTTTACTTGCATATTATTTTAATAATATGTTTTCAATGAAATATTATTTAGAACGTTGCTTATTCTAGAACATATTAAAACCAATATAAATGCATTGCTTTATCACAAGGTTGGCACGTCTTAAACCTTTGGTAACCTTACTCTTTTACATGTACCTGTTTTTTGGTCAAGAGATTTCCATTTAAAAGGGTTGTAACTACCAATAATTTTGTTCTAATCTTTGACATAATTGTTCTTTCATGATCACATAATTCTATCTCAGCTGTCATGCAACAATAGGTTAAAGTCAAATGGATAATTTCATTATTATCTCGATCTTGAGGCATCACTTTTGTAGAAATCAATTAATGGTATACAATTTTGAGCGTAGTATTGAGTTCATTGAATCTGTTTTGTGGCCATTATTTCACTGAAATCAATAAATCGAGTTGCTAGAAGCTGACATTTAAACGATTTCCCATTCAAGTACCTTTTCCCGAATTTCAATCTCGCTTAGATTCAAATTACGTATCGGTATGTTTCCAAAGTTGCTGTATTGAAAAGCTGCTGCCAGATTTTACATGGAGCTTGACATTTGATTGATCATGGCGAAATTTTCAGCCACAGGTTTAGAGTGTTGCTTCAAAGATATATTCGATTAAATCTTCAAAAATTGGTTAATTGGCCATTGCAAGTATGTAACTCGTTATAATCACAGGGTCGTGAAACAGAAATCTGGAAAATATAATGTGTGACTATATGGAGGTTAAATTCCTAATAGCTAGGACTGGGAAAGAGTGGCACTATAACGAGATGCAACTGTATTATATAAAGGATAATGACCATATATACATGTAATTCTTAACATTAAATATAATCTTGAAAGGTTTCAACAATGTTACCCTACATTGGAAAGAGCCATTAATATTGGTTAATGCACAGTAACGTTCGCTCAGTATTCGAATGTCTCCGACAATGATCGAATATATATATAGTTTTTTGTCATTTCCACCACATACGAACATGTATTATCAGATATCTAGACATAATTTTCAAATCAAAATTACATCATAAACCAACGTGAATAACATCAACAGTAATAGCATCGCTCAAATTCGGCGGTAAGTTAGAAATCAAAGATGATGACAAAAATTTTTTATTTTCTATTGCATAAAAAATCCTAATTCGTAATTGACAAAATTCATATTAAATACATGTACTATTAGATTATGATGAAACCAATTGCGAATTATCAAAGCCTGACGAATTTAAATGCACTCTTTTTTCTGCTCTCAAAAATATGATTGATATTTGCACACCACGTGTATGTATATGCTCCATATAAGACTAATATTTCGTTGTATCGACTATTAATAATTAAGATAACCATACAGGTGCAAACTCGCTGAACAATCCAATAATAGGCACTGATGGAGATGTTCATGTGATGGTCATCCACATAACTAACAATTGTAATGTTCATAACGAGATGACTTATTGCTTATAATAAGGACAATAGTTATCTACACTCATGTAATATTATCTGGTTTTGCATAGTTCATTGATCTACTATGTCCTTTGATATTTTTACAACATAGATGGTAGAATGTCATATCAAATGACATCGAGCCCGCGTTGACATAGAAAGGGAATGTATCATGTGTTGATTTTTTAAAAATGATGCCCTACTCAGAGGCATTCCAGAAATGAATCTTTTTGCGTAGTTGTAAACTTGTGACATTTGCGAGAACAACCAATTCCCGCCAAAAATCATGGATTGAGATATCATTAGCTTCAATCTGCTGTCTGATACGTTGCTGAGTGAACCCTTCGGATTGATCTAACCTTGAGAGGTCGCGTAAATGCTCTTTAAAGAAGTTATCGACGTCGCAAGCAAATGCGCGCATTTTATATATGTCGTTTTCATTAATCTCTTCTGCAAATAAGGATAGTATGGGTGAAGGTGAAGCGTTACCTATGGCCGATTTATCTGATTTTAATCTTTCAATTCTCTGAGATAATTCCTCTTCAGTTATGATTTATAGTTATCAAATGGTTCTTATCCATAAGGCTTATATTTCGTTGTATCGACTATTAATAATTAAGACAACCATAAAGGTGCAAACTCGCTGAACAATCCAATAATAGGCACTGATAGAGATGTGTTCATGTGATGACTATCCAAATAACTAAAAATTGTAGTGTTCATAACGAGATGACTCGTTGCCTATAATCAGGATATCTACACTCATGTAGCCTACTTAATTATCTAGTTCATTGATCTACTATGTCCATCTTTGATATTTTTTTACAACATAGATGGTGGAATGTCATGTCAAATGACATCAAGCCCGCGTTGACATAGAAAGGGAATGTATCATGTGTTGATTTTTTAAGAACGATGCCCTACTCAGAGGCATTCCAGAAATGAATTTTTTTTGCGTAGTTGTAAACTTGTGACCTTTGCGAGAATAACCAATCCCG